TGAGCAATAAAAAATTGGATTCACGAGAGGCTGTAATAAAACAAAGAAACACTAACATAAAAAATTTTAATGTAAACATATGAATTAATAAACTAAAACATAGGAATTAAATAAACTAACTTCAATTATGTCGAATACTCGACCTACCACACCAATTTAATAAACTAAAACATAAGAATTAATAAACTAACCTCAATTATTATGCCGAATACTTGGCCTGCCATAACAATCTCTTAGAAAGTTGTTTGACATTAAATTAAGAAAAATTAAGTGTCACAGAACATAGGTTTTAACATAAATATAGGAATTAATAAACTAACCTCAATTATGCCGAATACTCGATCTGCCACACCAATTTTATAAACTAAAACATAAGAATTAATAAACTAACCTCAATTATTATGCTAAATACTTGACCTGACAAACTAATCTCTTAGAAAGTTGTTTGACATTAAATTAAGAAAAATTAAGTGCCACAGAACATAGGAATTAACGTAAACACATGAATTAATAAACTAAAATAGAGGAATTGATAAACTAACATTAATTATGACGAAAACTTCAACTTCGATTTTATTGAGTTTGTCACAGAAGAGCATGAGACCATAGGACTTCAAATAAATGACTATGGCAGACCAATTTCTAACTCTAACGTGAATGGAAGAAAAAACTTGTTAGATAACTTTGCTGAAAAGTTTGATCCCATGTGGTATCAGAATCCCATCTAATTATATATATCTATATATATATATATATATATATACAAGGGTGGAGCTACTTGAGCACCAGGGGGCACATGCCCACCCTCAATTTTTTTTTTTAAATATTACTTATGTATATTTGAAATAATTTTAAGTATATTTAAGTGTGACCACTCTATCATTTTTTGTTCTATCAATTAGTATAGTTCCCGTACCTAAATAATTATGAATTTTTTGACACACTTTGGACACTTTAGGGATACATCTATATAAACTTTTGACATGTCGAACTCATTTTTTTTTTAAAGTATAGAGATTCTAATTAAAAAAAAAAAAGCTATAGAGATTATGACAACTAGGTTACTTAATTAAATGAGTGATCAATGACTAATGGTTTAATCATATATATGGAGAAATACTATAGTATCTTTTATGCAATTTGCTTCATTTGTTATGAAGGGGTATAATTAGCTCTCTTTTTGTTTGGTTTTATTTATGTATGCTATATTTATCAAAGTTTCACCTTTTCGTATTTTATGAATTTTTAAATATCGAACACAATATAGTAAATTTGAATATATTATTTTATTTTTATTGATTAGAAGAAAAAAATTAAAATTTTTTAGTAAAGTGCCCATCCTAGACATAATTTTTGGCTCCACCCCTATATATATATGAAGGAAAGACAAAAAATATATATGTATATGTATCACCTAAAAATTACCAATATGTGGTATTAAAATTGTAGTAGAGTTTATACAATTGAATGAAAAAGAAAGAATGTATTGTCATAGAGACAAAGTTTATCTATCAAGTCATAAAGATAAAGTTTATATAACTAATATTTTGATAAATTTTATCTAGGTAATACTTTGATAAAGTTTATCTACCAAATTAGAGAAATAAAGTTTATCTAGCTAATATTTTGGAAGTCAAGTAGGTATGAAAGATAGAAACATATGTGAGTATAATTGGTTTTACGGTAGTAATTAAGGGTGAAATAGGAAATCAAAATTTTTTCAAACATGCTGACATTTATAAGTAGTATAGATTATTATTATTATTTTTTTAACTTGGATATTACATTCTCTCCTCCTTAAAAGAATTTCGTTATCGAAATTTATTTAACTTGTGAGAACAATTGAGGATATTCAATTTCCATCCTTTTTTATTTACTTCACAACTAACTTTCTTGCCTGAGTGACTCTTCTACAATACCTTGACTAATGGAATCATCTTGTTACCCAAAATTTATTGACTCCTCAACATAATTAAGAGTTTCCTTTAATAAACTTCTCCCACCAATATACAAGGAGAATCAAGTATAACGTGATGGCGATGGCATGACATCACATAGGGTTTTGATAATCATGCAACTCCATTTGGTTCTTGTAGGTGTTGAGGTGATCCATGTGATCTTTCGTCCAATCAAAGGCCTCCATCTGGGGCATTCTAAACTTCGAAATGAGGGGGAAGTGTAGTACATCAGCGGTAAAAGGGGATTCAGTCTGTTGTACCAGATGCATCCATTGTTACTAGGGTCTTGCCTCTCCCAGACTCTTTCATGTGGCTGAGCTCTTACTGGATATCTTTGAAGCGTTGTTCCCAATACTACTTTCCTCTTTCCTGCAGGAAAGGGAGAAATTCATTTTTCTTAGTTCTCACATTCTGGCTCTGTACTTCTTCATTATCACCATTCCTGGGAGGTAGATGAGGAGTATGACCCATGACTTGGCTATTTTTGCCCCTTTCGTTAACCTCCCTTAGGGGATCGAGACGTTGATGCTCCCCTTGTGGGGGGTAATTTGGATCGTCCTGGGCTGGTCGTGTCTTCTGAGGACGTTGTAAGAGCTTCAAGAGATCTTCATTTTGTTGTAGTAGACATTGGTTGACTAGTCAGAAAGCTCCAGTTCGTTATTCGAAGGGGGATCCGCCATGGAGTATTAGTCTCTGTGGTGGGGAGGAAGTCTTGAAGATTTTCTTATTGCCTTCCACTGGTGGCTTCCTGCTAGTTTTGCAATCACTGAGGATTTTATCTGGCTTCTGCTCATGTTGCATGTAATGACCATCAATTACTGAAAGTAATCAGTGTATTTGTAATAGGAGTAGTCGTTCCCATAGACGGCGCCAAACTGATGGTGTTCTTATCGCAATTAAGCAATGCTATGGATGATGTGGGTTTGATTCAATCTGAGCTCCAAGCCTCTTGGGGATTTTAGGATAATTGGGGGGGGGGGGGGGAGAAATCACACACAATTTTTATAGTGGTTCACTAGTTCAAAAGTTCAACTAATCCACTCTTAAGTGAGTCTCTTGCTCCTAGAAGCTATTATTGAAGATGCTGAAAAGTACAAAGTATTCTTGACATTATTTCTCTTGCTCTCTCCCATAATGAGGACATTGTACAACATTTATAGTCTAGTTCTTAATTTTATGGGGTCTAGGGCGAGAGCCTTCCTCTTGTAACGTCTTACTTGATTCCAGGCGATGGTTTAGGCGGTTAAGGATCTTGCGCCTAGACTGGTGCTTACTGCCGTTGAGGGGGGCGCGTTGTGGTTGTCATCTGTCTTCCATCTATTTTCTTTGAAGTACAGGTCGAGGGAGCCCCGGATCTAGACCTTTGAGCTCAGGCTCTTCTAGCTGAGCTCCCTTCTTGACCTCAACTCCTGAGCTCAAACTTGAAATTTCTTTTATGTATCATCAAAAAAAATGTTTCTTAGTACATTTTGATTCAATCATATATTAATGTGAAATACAATGTTATTTAAAATATCTAAAATGTTTTATAATGGATTAATTGTAAGCTAAATTCCTAACTAATTTCCTATAAGTGCACACAATCTTAGAGTCTATAGTAAAATTATTTTTCATTCAAAGGAAACCTAGTTGTGATCATTTTCGATTTTGTTGAGAAAATTGTATATTTAAAATAACATATATTATGACTTTTAACTTACANTTTTTTTTTTGGTACATCATCCATCATTATTGAGTGAAAGATTCAGTATGGATTAGTGAAAGATTCAGTATGGATTAGTGAAAGACCCATTTATACACAATAGGTCCCACTTGACTGAATGATAGATAATATACCCAAAAAAAAGTTGAAGAAAAAATAAATTAGAAATGTCTGAGATGATATCATGCGTACGTGTTGATAATGTAGAAAAACTAGAAGAAATTGGCAAAGTCGTTGACTAACAATTGCTTGGTTAAATGTGAGCTCATCCAAAATTCCTCTCTCAATGGTACCATTATGTCGACATGTTTTCCCAAACTTCAAAGCCCAATTTTCTAGGTCAAAGAATCTAATATTTAAGTTGGTGTGATTCTCTCGTTATTTTCCTCGGCAAGAACTTAAAAAATAATGATTAAATTTATTATAATAGTGATTTTGGGATGGATATAGAAAAATGAGCATGTTATATGAAGTTAAAAAGTAGACTTAAAAACTAGACTTAATAATCTTAATCATTAATTTTATTTTGAGTTCCAGTATTTATTGAGACTCTCTACCTATTCAATGGTTGAGATTATCAAATCTAATTTTTAAATTTAATTTTTAAGTCCTTCTAGCATTACTTTAAAAAAAAATTGTGCACATGTAGCCACACTACCATTTTTTTTTTGTTGCATATAGATTTTATTTTCTCAGAAATAAGCCAAGTATTGTACAAGATATGTTAGTTATTTTTGATAAAATAATATTATTTACACTTAATTCATTGACCCAATAAGTCATTTTATCAATAATAATAATTTTCAATGTTAAATAAGATTCACTAACAATCTAACGTGATTACATGATTATTGTATTCAATACTCAGTTATGCAATGGAACTTGCCAACTATTATCAGGCTACGGCTCCTCTCCATTCCTGATAGAAATGGAGATCCTCCATTCTTTCACTATAATTAGCCACCTGTCATTTGTTTTGTTTTATGGCTAGGATTTCTCCAACTGTTGTCTACCTCCCCACGTCTCTTTCTTCCATCTAACTAACGGAACATGCCGTCAAATATCCTTATATTTTTCCCTCCAAATTTAAGAACAATAGATAAGTCCCGCCATAGTTGTTTATGTCATATTTTCACATGGGCCTATATATATCTATTATGCATAGGTCTAACAGACATTGTCAGGTATATTTCTTTTCCAAGGTAACAAAGTTGACCTTTCTTTGAAGACCATGCCGAGTTTAAGTCCCGATGGAGATTTATTTTTGGTCATCAAGGCTTTTGCAGCGGGTGTCATTCTAGCAACTGGGTTTATACATCGCCGTGTTTGAATGCGAATCCATGGCAGAACTTTCAGTTTGCAGGATTCGTGGCCATGGTATCGGCAATGGGTACTCTTATGGTTGATACCTATGCTATGTCTTACCATAAGAAATCACACTTTAACAAAATAAAGCCAGATATAGAGATGTTAGTTGATGGGCATGATGGTCATGTTCATGTCCACACGCAACTAACCATCATGCCCATCAACTAACATCTCTTCGTCAAGCTTTGCTTTGGTAAAGTGTGATTTCTTATATTAAGAAGTAGCATAAGTATCAACTATAAGAGCGAGGGCGGCCCAACAAATTTGGAGACTTAGGCGAAAATATAAAATGAGGTTTTATTAATAGCCAATAATTATAAAAATATATTTTTAAATAATTAAAAATATATTAATAGTATGAGGTGTCAATAATGTTTAAATATAAATTACAAAGAATGTCAGTAATATTTTTAATAGTAGATGAGATGTTTTTGAAAATATAGTATACCAGAATGGATGTAACTGAAATTTTTTCTAAAATATTTAAGAGAAGTGACCTTAACACTGTATTCAGTTGGTCATAAAATTCGATCACACTAAATGTATTTTTATTCAAACAAAAACTGAATTCGGCAGTCCCCAAAAGTTGCATGTGTTTTGGAGGTGCAAAAAGTAGGCGTAGTTTCTCACAATACTTCCTCTATATAACGAACAATCTGTTCCTTCCCTGCATTTCAGGCCTTAAACTGATCTTTATACCATTTTACCTGATAAACCTTTTTCTCTCTCTTCAATATTATCCATCAGCACGAACAAGCTTCTTGATCAGCCCTACTCACATTCAAGAGTTCAAAAGTCACTATTTTTGGCCTTTCTCATACTCCTTCCCACCATAGTTTCCGGTGAATGTACATGTGATGATGAAGAAGGAGGTCATAACAAGAGCAAAGCACTTATATACAAACTGATCGCCATAGCCACAATCCTCGTAGCCGGTGCAATCGGTGTGTGTCTTCCAGTATTGAGCAAGACCATACCGAGTTTAAGTCCCGATAGGGATTTATTTTTCGTCATCAAAGCTTTTGCAGCGGGTGTCATTCTAGCAACTGGGTTTATACACGTGCTTCCTGATGCTTTTGATCACTTGACATCGCCGTGTTTGAATGCGAATCCATGGCAGAACTTTCCGTTTACAGGGTTCGTGGCCATGGTATCGGCAATGGGTACTCTTATGGTTGATACCTATGCTACTTCTTACTACAAGAAATCACACTTGAACAAAGCAAGGACCGATGAAGAGATGGTAGCTGTTGGGATGATGATGGTCATGTTCATGTCCACACGCATGCCACAAATGGTCATGCCCATGGATTGATACTCTCTGAAGGGGATTCGGATTCATCTGAACTACTTCGTCATCGTGTTATATCACCGGTGCTTTTTACTATTTATTTTTTGTGATCTGTTTGCCTTTTTTTTTTTTTTCTCTTTTTTTTCACATTTAAACTATTTTCCATATTATCTTATGGTGATTTGGTTCTATAGCACCCTACGTAAGTTGACCAGGGGAGGAGAAAGCTTAATAAAGGGTGGAGGTTCCACTAGGGTAGCGGAGGGGAGGAGTGTGCGGTGTGCATATCAGATTCTTTTATCTTTAAGTTTGTTATTTTGCGTCGACTTAGATTTAAAATTTTCAAACCAACTCTCGAATTATGCTCATGTGTCACAATTTCTCTCAATTTTAATAGAATTTTGTGATTGTAATACTTTGATAAAAAATAAAATGAGGGTTTATTTATTTTTGTTTCAATTTCAAGGCCAAACAAAGGGAATGCAAAGAAGTTTCTCTCTCTCAAATTATGAAATTGATTTGAATAGTCAAATATTTTAGTGGTTTAGAAACGAGTTGGAATGACAACAGTTTAAATTTTAAAAAATATTATAGTTTGAATAATTTCTTTGTTGCATGTCAACACTTATTACTTAAATATGTATATTAGTAATGATACGTAATAATTTTAATTAATATATATGTGTGTGTGTGTATATATATATATATATATTGTGCCGATGATTGGTGTTATATTGTAGGTTTTGGAATTAGGGATTATAGCCCACTCTGTAATTATTGGAATTTCTTTGGGTGCTTCTGAAACTCCAAAAACCATGAGGCCGCTTGTGGCTGCCTTGACATTTCATCAATTTTTTGAGGGCATGGGACTTGGTGGATGCATAGCTCAGGTATCAACACCACTAATCAATTTAACTTTCATTCTTTTTTTTTTTTTTTTTGTCTAAAGTTATAGCCTATAGGCCCTACACTTGGTTTTCAGCTTTTGAATTACCATAAACTTTTAAATTGACATCCATTGTAAATGTTTACAACATCATTTTAGCTTAATTAATTTTTGGGGTTACTCACATCTTACCAAAGTCTTGTAATATAGTTTTTTTTTAACGTGTAACACTACATAGACTTAATATAGATTAATGTTATATTATTATTTTTTTGATGTGGATGGGACATTTGAGGATGGACTAGTGCGTCTATATTTTGGATGAGCTAATTTGAGAGAGTCCAAATTTTACTTACCTAAAAAATTGTTCTATTTGTCAGCTATTGTAGGCTGCTAAACTTCTTGCCAACTATAGCTTTGCATGGATTGCATGTGAACAAGGGATGCCAGTCAAATCCCATCTTCTACAAGCACAAGTATGTTCATTCACATCCACAACAAACTGATATCCATAACAATGCTTAACCTCAAACTGTGATCCTCCATACCAATAAGCAATGCAAAAAGAAGCTTCATTCTTATTCTTCTCTAAAATTTTTTGGATTTTAGGGCATATCTTACCCTCCTATTTTTTTATTATATCTCTTTTTGCAAACAACCTCCTCATTAGTAAATGTCTTATCTTCTCCAACATTGATATAATGGGTTTGTCTCTTGCCCCAAGTATATAGGAATTGAAACATTCTGACATGTTATTCAGAAGTATGTCACACTTACATAATGTGTTGAAGTGTGACCTAGACCAGTTCCTTGGATGCTTATCTTCGAACCAAGCAAATGCATTTGAATCTTCATTTTTCAATTTCATCATATTCTCATGAAACTGGTTGACATAAGTTGATCTTGCAGCAGCCCAAACAATGTCCTTTAGTGCTTTTCCGTTGTGTTTAATCTTGAAATTGTTGTGCAGATGCCTAACACAGTGCCTATGTTCAACATCAGAAAGCAACTCCTGAATGGCATGCTCCAGTCCCTATACAAACACAAAACTCAATTAGTTATGCTATACCAATTGTAAAACAAACATGTTTGAAAAAATAAGATTTAACAAACATACCTTCTGTTTGTCAGACATTATAGTCCAACCATGTGTATTGGTTATTCCCAGATCTTCTACCAGAATGGTTAGACACCATGTCCATATGCTTGGGCCCTCCATTTCAACCACAACATAGACAACTGGGTACATGCTATTATTAGCATCTACACCAATTGCTGAGAGTAGTTGTCCATTATGTATACCTTCAGATCACATCCATCCAAGCACACCACATGTCTGCATGTTTCCTTAAATCCCCTCTTCAATGCATCTAAACATATGTACAATCTCTCAAACATAGATTCACATTCTATCTCAGACACATTATCCATTTTCATGACTATAGTATTAACAGGGTTAGTCCTCTTCAATTCATCACAATAATCTCATAGTTTAGCATACTGCTTTGTTTAGATATTTTAAATAGTGCTTTTGACCAAAGGCAGTTCCCACCCAAACGTTATTATGAAACTAAGTTAGTTTTAAACTTATTTTTCAAATTCAGTCTCTTCATAAAAAAGTCATTTCAAATGACGTCTTCTTAGGGAAAAATGTCATTTTAAATGACATTTTTAACCTTGACATAATTGAACAAAGATTGTGATAATTAAAAAATAAAATGTCATTTAAAGTGACACCTTTAAAAACGTTAATTTGAATGACGTTTTTAAATTACTACTTTAAACAGCTTGGTAACATCGTTATGTGAAGCTTAAAAACGTCATTTGGAATGACGACTCTAAAGGCGTCATTCCAAATGGCGATTTATACGAATAAAATCAAAATCGACTTTTCCAAATCACAAAAGCCTTAGGACTATTTTTTTTTAAAAAAAAATTCACGCTATCTCAGATCCCTCTCTCAGATTGCTCTCTCCTCCTCCTCTAACCACTCACCCACCATCTTCTTCGACGAGGAAGATCACTCCAGCAACACATATTTTCTCAGGTGTTGCTTTCTATAGAAATCCCTCCAATTCAAATCACCATCTCATCTCCTCTAACAGCTGTGAAGGTATTAGCTCTCTCTCTGTATCTTTCTCTAAAAAGTTGTGTAATTTTCTGTTCTACTCTCCGAGTTCCAGAATACTAGGACCATATCCTCTGACCAGTCATACCACCACTCTCCCAAAGCTACTGTCAAGGTATTTTCCTCTCTCTCTCTCTCTATGTCTCTCTCTTTATATTTGAGTAGATATTATTGTAATTTAGTTGGATGTAAAAATCATTATTCTAAGATAGTTAGTGTAATAAAGTTCTAAAAATTAGGGTGTCCATTGTTTGTCCTACATCATAGTTGGGATATTATGATCTTGTGAGGCACTAATGGCCTATGACCCTCTCTAATTCAATCCACTACTCATTTCCAGAAGTGAATCCTTTTAAAAAAAATAGTGTGATGATGTGTGGTTTGGGTGCTACGAATCTGGTTCAAGACTCCAAAAGTCTGTTACTTGCTGCATTGTTTTGCTTCCATGGTGTGGGTGCTGCCAATGTGTGTGCGTGTTGGGCTGCTATGGTATGTGTGTTTGTGTGCTGTTGTGTGCATATGCTGTGTGTGTTTGTCTGCTATGTGATGTCTGTTGGGTTTTGTGGGTTTGAGTGTGTGTGTGTGTGTCGTGAGAGAGAGTGTGTTGTGTTGTGGGTTTGGTGTTGTGTGTGTGTGTGTCGTGAAAATGAGTGAGTGAGTGAGAGAGAGAGAGAGAGGGAGAAAGGGAGAGAAGTCGATGGCTTAAAAAATGGGGGTTATTTTTGTGTTTAGGGGTTGCGTGTGTGTGGGGTTAAAATGAGCGGGAGGAGTAATTTGTGTGGGATGCATTGTGGACCTTTAGATTAAGTTAGAAGATTTGAGATGAAATTTGGGCCATTAAATGAAAAGTAGATTAACTCTAAACCGTCATTGTGCTTTCTCAATTGGATTAAAATTAAATTAAATTTTAAAGTGAAAAAAGATTCAAATTTGGTTCTATCTTATTGTTATAGATTAAATTAAATATGTGTTTTGTATCTAGTCAACATCTATAATATTTTTTTTTAATTTTCGAGTTGTTTATGAGAATACCATTCAAAAATGTTAGAAATATCTTATCTTTAATTTTTTTTTCTATAAAAAACATTGTCTCTCTTTCTCTCTCTCAAATATTTGTTTTAATCAATAAAAATATTATTTTTCTCTGGACCAACCCGGTGGGCTGATTGTATTTTCTTGCAACATGATACAAGAATTGTCAATTGATACGAGTGTCATGGTCCATACCTAGCCAGTACTATGTGCAATGGTGTGGGTCGCACTACCTATAACTTTGCGTGGCCCAAAAATTGTAGCTACCCCTTTCATAATTCCCACATGTGTGATTTGGTCTGACATCACCGTAATGTTCATTCTGCCTCGGAGGTAAGATTTTGTACATCTAACCCACTTAAAACTTTGTACTGGCGAGAGTCAAATGCAACAACTTTCTTGTGTTTCTTTTTTAGAGCTTCAATAGCTTGGATAATCCCAACAACTTAAATGAAAATGATGAAAAATATGAGTGGTACACTTTTTATCATTCAAATGATCAAGGAATCCTTCATTCAAGGATGAAAATGTGTTTATTTTTCCTTGCGATTAATGCCTCTTTGTCGATAGTTACACTAATTTCAAGGCATATTCTTTACATTTTATATTATTTTCAACAAAAATTCTCCTTCCATTTTCATCACTTTCTAGCTCATACTCATGTATTAGGCTTTAACATGGTTTGGTTAAGAAGCAACAAAAATGCACGCACCCTAAATTCTCCCTTAGTTCATAGGATTTGCCATGCATTGATTTTTGTCGATAGTTGTGGTTGTATTAAAAAAATTCACAATTTCAATTTTTATTACAATTACGTATGAAGATGGTGAGGAAATAAAATGGGGTGTGAATTTCTATCAAGTTGACTTCACAAAATTGAGCATTTGAATTAACAGAAAATAAAATGGTTTACTTATTAGTGTATTGGCAAAAATCTAATTTCTGGACTATTCGATTTTTCAATTATGTATAATTTTG